GAAGGGTTTAGTAGACGAAAAGGATACGTACCCAGACGAGAAGGGTAAGTTGGTTTTTCATGGCACTTTTTTCCCCAGTAGCTAAGATGACTACTGTGAGGACTGTCATAGCTATTGCGGCTCTTAAGCATTGGCCTCTTTTCCAGATGGATGTACACAATGCCTTCCTGAATGGTGATCTCTTTGAGGAGGTCTATATGACACCGCCCTAGGGATTTGGTAGCCGGGGGAGAACAAAGTTTGTAGACTCCTCAAATCCCTATATGGGCTGAAATAGGCCTCTAGGCAATGGATCTTAAAACTAACACAAGCCCTACTAACATCTGGCTTCAAACAGAGCAGACATGACTACTCATTATTCACTAAAACTACTAATGGTGCTTTTGTGCTCATACTTGTATATGTAGATGATTTGCTTGTTACAAGTAATGATTTGGCAGAGATACAATTAGCCAAAGATGCTCTGCACAAAAACTTTAAACTGAAAGATCTTGGAGAACTAAGATACTTTCTGGGTGTTGAGTTTGCTAGATCAAGTGAGGGCATCATAATGTCACAAAGAAAGTACACTTTAGAGATGATCTCTGAAGCAAGCCTCCCAGGTTCAAAGCCTAAAGAAACTCCAATGGAACAACATCTAAAGCTAACTAGTGCAGAATTTGATGAGCTAATAAAGACAAAAAGTTCTGATGAGCTTTTGGTAGATAAGAACATTTTTTAGAGGCTAGTTGGAAAGTTGTTGTACTTAACGATAACCAGACCGGAAATTGCATATGCAGTACAGTGTTTGAGTCAGTTTTTGCAAGCACCAAAAAGGTCACATTATGAAGCAACTCTACATGTAGTGAAGTATGTCAAGAATCAACCTGGACTTGGACTCTTAATGTCAAGCACTAGTGCAAAAGAAATTGTGGCTTACTGTGATTCAGACTGGGCTTCATGCCCCATGTCTAGAAAATCAGTTACTGGTTTCTGTATCAAGCTAGGAGCATCACTTATCTCCTGGAAAGCAAAGCAGAGAACTATATCTAGGAGTTCAGCGGAAGCTGAATATAGAAGCATGGCACGTACAGTAGCAGAATTGATATGTTTGAAAGGACTACTGATGGGGTTGCAGGTGAATGTGAAAATGCCTATGGAGTTGTATTGTGATAATAAGGCAGCCTTACAAATAGCAACTAATCATATGTACCATGAGAGAACAGAATATATAGAGAATGACTTCCACTTTATAAGGGAGCAAATACAAGAAGGTTTGATAAGAACTACATATTTATCGAGTCAAGAGCAGCCTGCAGACATCTTGACAAAGGCTTAAGGCCATCAACAACATTCAGCATTACTTTCCAAGTTGGGAATGAAAAATATTTTCCATTCTCAACTGGAAGGGGAGTGTAGAAATAAATAGTTGTATAGTTAGCTCTTTATATTGTACTCTTCTAGAAGGATATAGTTAGAGGATAGTTGCTTAGCTGTCATAAGATTAGTTAGTGAAAATATTATCTTGTAATAGATATATAATAGTGTACAGTGTACTTCCGATTAATGAGATAGAAAATTCAGCTCCACTTTCTCTCTCCAAAACTTTCCTCTCTTCTCTTCTTTGTTCTCTCTTCTTCTTCAATTTCGCTACTCCATTAATGGCTGACCTAGAGCTTGTTCTTAACAGAACTCAACTGGATCAAAATATTTTCTTTTTCTCCCTCTAATACCTCACCTTCTCAACATTTTCCTCTGTCCACCTTCTTGAAATTCAAATTCTTAGGGTGGAAAAATGTATTAGCTCAAATTCTTTGATCATGTGCAGCGGTTGTGGGGATTATGGTACCTAAAACATAACTGATTAATGGAAAACTTTAACGCTGAGAACTTAGGGTTATGAGGATTAACACGTAACTAGATATTGCATTATTAGTAGTTTTAGCATGAGATTAAGGGAGAATTTTAAGGGCAAATATTACTTTTAGCCCGCGGCATAAGCTATTTATACTCGGCCGCCGCAAAAGTATATAAGTTTTATATATTTTTTGTATATAACATACAAAAATATATGTATATACATTTTAGGCAATTATTTTGATGGAGCTATACAATATCATTTTGATAATTTTTTTAATCAAAGGTGGCAAGGGGCCCGGTTGGTCCAGTGAAAAATAGCCCAATCAGGCTTCGTATCGCTCCAATGCCGGGCTGATTTTTTCCAGCTAAAGGGGGTTGAGGTTTGGGGGCCTAAATCTGATGTGGAGTGGGGCGGGCTTAAAATTACCTGCAAATATTCTATTTTTAAATTTAACAAAAATGATACAATATAATTTTTACTTGAATGCTATAAAAAATTTAAATTATAAATAAATAAATTAAACATCAAACTTTAACGAGTAATGTATTAAGAACTTAAATAAATTTTTAATTTATATCAAGTGAAAGTAAAATGTTAATACCAAGAACAATATTTGGAGAAAAACTTCAAAGACTTAAGAGCCTTATATTTCATTTAAAATGATATCTTAAACATGAAGATATTCTAGCTTATAATTTGCAAGTTCTTTTTTATTTTTAAACTTGTAAATTTAAAGGTTATAACAATTAAATTAAAGTAAAAGGAATACATTCAAATTTTAAATTTCAAAGGTTCTTTGCGTCACCTTTTATAGTTTTCTCATGTAAATATGAACTTCTCGGCCTGCTTGTGTGGGGCGTTTAATTCAGATGAGAACCCATTTGCCGATCTAATCCAATAACTGGATAATACTAGAACTTCCAAAGCGTTGATACTTAATGAATGACAAGTGTCTCTGTAACAACCCGATCGGTCATTTTTGTCACGACCCAAATCCACTAAGGGTCGTGGTAGCGCCGGAGTACAAGTGGACAGAAATGGAAATACCATACAATACTCTGAATGAGACTCTGCTGACTGCTATCGTCTCGATAAATGCAACTCACCTAAGTCTCCGTATTAACCATGTCGCTATGCCACTAAGCCGTAGCCACATATGAACTTGTACAAAAAAATGCACAGAAGTGTAGTATGAGTACGAAAACAACGTGTACCCAATGAGTATCCCGTCTAATCTCGAAGAAGTAGAGACGAGATGGTCGACTTCGACACTTACTAGTGGTCCAATAATGATATATTATTAAGGCGAATAATCAAGGATTTATTAAGAATGACAGTAATCTCAAAATAAACTGTGCACTGCCGAGGGTCGAACGGCGCGAACCATAGATGCATCTATTACCCCGCTCGCGAACTATCCTGCGACGCGATCAACATAAAGTAAACAAATACCCTGCTCGCGAATCATACATGCGACGCAGGTACACATAGGGATACATGCTCAAATAGCAAATTAAGAATTTATCAGGGAACATTTATCCAAATAAAAGCAAATCCTCTTTTAACAATTTAAGAAAATGAAGTTTAATCCTTTTAGCAATTCATTTACTAATTCATTGTAACTTAAGCAATTCAAACTGTCAACAAGTTTACAATTAATCCAAGTATAGCATGCTTTTGGGTCCTACACTACCCGAACAATAGCATAATAGTAGCTACGCACGGACTCTCGTCACCTCGTGTGTACGTAGCCCCCACAAATAGGAGCACATAACCAACTAACTCACATATGGGGAAAATTCCCTCATACAAGGTTAGAAAGGAGACTCACCTCGCTCCGAAGATCCATAACCGGCATTCCACGCTCCTCCGAAGACTTAAATCGACGCACAATGCTCCAAAACTAGCCAAGGATTATACAAATCCATTAATATATGCTCAATTACTCATTACAATCCAATTTATAGCAATTCCTAACCCCAATCGAAAAGTTGACAAAAACGCCCTCGGGCCCACGTAGCCGGATTCCAAAATTTCTCGAAGATAAGGTTTACCCATGAACTCACCAACTCAAATATACGATTTTCTCCTTATTCCATACCCAAAATCGTGGTCAAAATCCAAGAATACTAATTTTCTAGGTTTTCTTCAAAATTCCAAAATTTCTACTAATTTACATGATTTTCCATATTAAAACCTAGATATAATCCAAGTAATTAACTTGCAATAGGTGGGAATCACTTACCTTGACATGGATGATGAAAATGGAGCTCCAAAATCGCTCCTAGGTCGGCTCCCATGGAGAAAAAGAGATAAAATGAGCCAAACCCATTTCTTTACACTTATACACTGCCCAAACGAGTCTTCTTCGCGTTCGCGAGACCCCCATCGCGTTCGCGAAGAAGAAAATTCCCAAAAATCATTTTTCATACTCTTCTCAGACAGCCTCTAGTATAATGGCCAAAACCTTTTGTACATAACTCCAAATTACAAATGGTTTAATGTTTTGGAAACTAGAGACCAAGATCTACAACTTTCGTGCTTTGGTCATCTCCCAATTCCTTATAGATTTTGAGATATAAGCTTCCAAAGTCAGCCCTGTGCAATACAAATTTCTTCTTTATCTTTTCGGATAGCCTATAGTGTACCAGCCATAACCTTTGGTACACAATTCCAAATTCTAAATGGTTTACATTTATGAAAACCAAACACAAAGGGCTACAATTTTTATTTTTGGATCATCTCCAAATTCCTTATAGATTGTGAGATATGAGCCTCCGAAGTCAGAGCTGTGCAGCAGAGATTTCCTTCTACGCGAACGCGAGAACCTCTTTGCGAACGCGAAGAGCAGAGTCTCTGAGGCCAAATCCTTCTTCGCGAACGCGAGAGGATCCTTGTGAACTCGAAGAACAACACCAGATACCAGCATCAGCTATTTCAAAACAGCCCGAAATGATCCGAAACCACCCCGAAACACACCCGAGGCCCCCGGGCCCCCGTCCAATCACACAAACCAGTCCCATAATATAACACGGACCTGCTCGAGGCCTCAAATCACATCAAACAACATCGAAATCATGAATTGCACCCAATTCAAGCTTAATGAACTTTAGAACTTCAAATTTCTACATTGGATGTCGAACCTATCAAATCACGTCCGATTGATCTCAAATTTTGCACACAAGTCACATTCGACATTACGGACCTACTCCAACTTTCGAAACTGGATTCTGACCCCGATATCAAAAAGTCCACTTCCGGTCAAACTCCTCAAACACCTTCAAATTTCTATCTTTAGCCAAATGATTCCAAAATGACCCACGGACCTCCGAATTCACTTCCGATCGCGCTTCCAACTCCAGAATCACCATATGGGGCTATTCCCAGACTCGGAATCCCAAACGGACATCGATAACACTGAAATGCACTTCAAGCCAAACTTATGAAATTTCTTCCAAAATGCTAACTTCCAGAATAGGCGCCAAAACGCTCCCGGGTCATCCAAAACCCGATACAGGCATACTCCCAAGTCCGAAATCATCATACGAACCTGCTAGAACCTTCAGATCCTGATTTGGAGGTCGTTTACTCTGAAATCCAATCTCAGTTAATTCTTTCAACTTTAAGCTTCCGAAATGAGAATTCTCTTTCCAAATCAACTCTGAACTTCCCGAAATTCAATTCCAACGATGCGCACAAGTCATAATACCTGAAACGAAGCTGCTCATGGCCTCAGACTGCTGAACGATGCGCTAGAGCTCAAAACGACCGGTCGGGTCGTTACATTCTCTCCCACTTAAACATACGTCCGTCCTCGAACGTGCTAAGAACTGTGCTGGAGTTGTCCAAAATCACTGTTTAACACGGCGAGCACCTACCCGTGCTACCACAACTCCGCCGAGCACCTTAGCCCGATCACTCTGAAGATATTCTTTTTCACTTAAGCAAATAAGCCTTAGAGCCCAATTCCAACATCCGGAATTCTCTGCCAGACCTGTTCCCAACATACGAACACCGTGTCAATCACTACACGATGCACCAGAACATGACTGTACACCTTTGCTGAATTCATACCTTACACCGCTTTATTCACAGGACCACAATAACATTCTCTAAGCATAATAGTCGAAATTCCACGAATCTGATGCTCCCATTGCACCTCATGACACACACAGGTCTTGCTCTAACTCTTACAATACCACCACGACGGACGAGATGTGCAGAAATTCATAGCCAACTACCGAGTAAACCAATCATTGAGTCTATACTCCTGACAAGAACCATCACTTCATTATGAATCGAATAATGGCCTTAGCTGCTTAATGTACTTCATATAATCAGATTGCACGGATCTTAAATCCAATAATCTCGTCTCACCCAGTACGAACTGCTCAGGCAATAAGCCACCCCGACATGACCAAAAGTATCATATAATGCTACCATGTGCTAATAGGCTACCAATTAGAGTGCGACACAAA